GAGAAGGATAGAGAGAGGAAATGATTGGCATCGACCACAGCCTAGGGAACACCTGTGATATATGGAGAAACAGTGGTAGAACTGCTGGAAAAGGTGCAGTTACCAAAAGAGAGAGCTCTAAAACACTGCAAAGCCCGCCAGTCGTATGACAGCAGTATCAGTATGGGCAGCAGCCGTGCAGAGACAGCAGCCAGGAGTGCAGCAGCAGGAGTTTTCCTCCAGCGAATGCCCCGAGATATCCCAAATTGATCATGAACCTCCGGAGTCCCGGGCAAAGGATGGAGAGCTGGCTCCCTTGCTAAAAGCTGGGAGCAACGAAGCAGGATGGTGGCAGCTCCAGACAGCCGAGTAACAGTTCCCCAGCCAAGGGAAGCAGTAAAGCTTGTGGTGAAAGAAGTTATCTCTGGATGTGGGGCACCAGCAGGGCTGCCATCAGATTTTCAGAGGTTTGGATTTCGTAGCTGAAATTGTTCAACACCTAGGAAAACCCTTGGAATAGCAGCAGATTGACACAGTCTGTATGGGCCGCAGTGCAGTGGAGAGATGGAAAAAATGAATCAAACTGGACCAAACCCAGATCGATGGAGTCTGTTGGTAACAGGCTGGAAATGGCTGCGGCCCTACCTCTCACCTTACTGCATGTGCTGGTGAAACCGTGTGCTGAAGAGAAAGTGAGAGCTTGTGATATGATGTGTGGGAGAGCACTGCAGGGGTTGGAGAGTAGTGCTGACGTAAAGCGCTCGGGTGAGCTAAAGCTGAGAGCAGATGGCATCTCTTCAGGGAAAGTCCTTTCCTCTGCCCTTCGGTTCGTGGCTCAGGCGGCACCAGCGGCTCTGGGAGTCACAGCACATCCGCTCCACGGCGGTGAGTGAGTGTATCTACGGACGTGGAGCTCTGAGCTGCTGCGGGAGAAGTGAAAGGCGCGCACAAATCCTGCTGACCGCGCACACTGCTGCAGGCTGGCAGGAGTAGGCTCCTGAATCCGGAACGCAAGAACAAAAAGCGCCCAGCACGCAGCGGCCAGCAGAGCTGACTGCAGCGATGGAATGAAACATTCACATAAGTGAATGTGACTTGTAAACCAGGAAAGGGAAAATCACATGGTGAACCTGAATGTAGTTATTGAGGTTTAGATACCCTTAGTATATAGTTTGCCTTATACTAACTGCATCCATTGTTTGCCGTTATGAATTGTTAGGAGGGGGGGGAGGGGGGGGGCAACCTTGCAGTACTTAAGGGGTGTTTATTCTCTTTGTCTAAAATGATAATGATGATTTTAACAACGGGTATGGTTATCAATTGAACACCTGGCATCAAAATAAGCACATGAAATTGGTGAATAAAGTGTTGGATGTGCTCAGAATTGCCCAAATATGAGGCAAGTCCTTACCTGCTATGGGGATTACCACTGCCAGAACAGAGCTGGGATGCAGTATTTGTTAACAAATCCGCAGAGTACTTTGCAGACAAACATGCAGAATCACAAAGATGGATTGTAGGGACCCATCCCAGGATTGATCCCGTTTGTCTGTCAGACACAGGGACAAGGCAATTAGGGAAAGCTCCAATAAGAAAATCCCCGCACTGTAAACGGACAGTGCAAATGGGAACTGAGTATTTTGGAAGAAAGCAGGGGTAAATAGTGGGTGTCAGCTAAGGGGAAAGGACGGTCCTGGCTATGCGGATATGGAGCTTAGAAGGTATTATCCCCAAGGTGGACCGGAACCTGTACCCTGGGAATAGTAATGCCAAAGGTGATCAGTTAACGTGGATCATACAGGCCCGGGTACCCTCAAAAGTCAAGAGAGAAGTGCTCCATCCACCAATAAAAAGACCTAGTAGGTTTCACTCATGCATCAGTGGTTAATTCCCTCTTTGGAGCTGTAGAATTGGAAATGGCTATAGGAGACATGCAGTTATGAAACACCTGGAAAATGAAACGGGGTGCTAGGATTGGCCTATAAGAAGAAGTCCAAAGCTTAGTCCCGGTTGTATTGCAAAATAGAACGGCTTCAGATCTGTTGTTAGCCGCAAGAGGAGGAGATTGTGCAGTAGTAAATGCTGGTTGTTGAGTGTATAGAAACGGACAGATGTCAGATATGGCACCAACCTGAAAGGCTGCATAAAGTCAGCCAGGGTGATGTAAGCCGAAAGCAAAATGACTTCCTGGCTTCCCAACTTGGATTGGTGAAAGAATTTATTTGTGGGGATGGAGTATGTAATTGCTGCATGTGTCCCTGTTTGTTGAGTGATTCGGTGTTGGAAATGTGTGTCCGAATATGAGATGCCAAGGGTGATGAGGATAGGATAGAAACATGGAATCCTCACACAGAACAGGAGGGATTGATGCAGGTTGTTTTGCTTAGCCACAGGGATTAGTACAGTAGTTTAACAACCACTATGCTAGTTCAGCAAAAGGAATCCATAAGAGAGAGTTCTGAAACTTTCCCTTTCAGCTTTAGTCTTGCTTTTGTTCAGTCCTGTTTTTCCTCCATAGTTTTGCACTGGGGACATAATAGAGTACTTCAAACTTCTGCCTCAATGATTCTACCTCAACGAGAAGAAGTGGAGTCACAACACAATACTTTTTCTTTGGCCTCAAATCATGCAAGGACATTTTCCTCGAGTTCCACACGTACTGCTTTTAGAAGTGTCTCACTATGGCCTCATAAGCCATGGAAATCTTCTGCAGTGAGGTAGAGTGAGTGGCAGTGGGTTAATCCACTCCGACTCCCAGAGACAGTCGGTGGTTTATATTGCAGGGATTCCTTGTCAATCAACCTTAGCTATAATTGTGGCAAAGTTACAAAGCCGAAAGCAAACCAGCACTGCTATTTCTCTTGTCCCAGCAGGCTGCAGTTACACTTCTGCCTTTCACCTGTGATCATCGCAGCCTGCAGGAGAGCAGGAAATGGCCACAGCGCATCCCTCTCAGGTAGGAGCTTGGGGAAGCAGCTGGGAGAGGGCAAGGGATGTGAATGCAGAGGGAGAGTGAGGTGCCCCCATCCAGCATCTGTGTGCTGGGACGGAGAAGCGGCTGGGCCTGGAGTTTCTCTCGTGTCTGAGCCGCTTCCCTGGGCCTTGGCTTTTCCCATCAGAGAAGTCCTTTGCTTGCAGGAGCCCGTGAGCTTTGCGGAGGTGGCCGTGTATTTCAGCAGGGAGGAGTGGGCGCTGCTGGACCCTGCGCAGCGAGCGCTGTACCGGGACGTGATGCTGGAGACGTACCAGTGCGTGGCCTCGCTGGGTGAGGGCTTTGCTGCTGCTCCTTCTCATGTGGGCTGTGCAGAAGAAGCCTCTGCAAACAGGGCATATAGAATAACTGCAGTGCAGTTATTTATGGACTAACACAACAGCAACAACAAACGCAACACAGAGAAACGTGAGTTTCAGAAGGTATTAGTGTGCTCAGCACTGTGCTGAAAGCCCCGGAGTCACTGCTGGCAGATAGGCATCATACTGGAGGGGGGGACTAGAGCCCTACAAGCCACCATGCACCATGCTGCTGCACTGCTCCACCACCCAGATGACTCGCAGATAGCTCCTTTTGTCTGATGTGCTTTATTGTTCCGTTCCTGTAAACTTTTTTAAAGCCTTGGCCATTGAGCATTTTGGAAAAAGAACGAACAAATTTTCCTGATGGGAATGATAAGAACGTGTCCCTGCGTTATTTTCAGAGATATGGAAGTTGTACTGGGTGCCACGGGAATGTAGTTTGTATTGGCCAGTGTCATTCAGGCCCTCATTGTGGTTTCACAGTGGGGAGGGACACACAATGGAGTGGCGGACAAGCAGCTGTGCCAGAATCTCGGAAATGCTCTCACCTCCCCTCTTTCTGTCAATTAAGCTCCACTTCCCGTGCCCAAACCCGCGGTGATCACCCTGCTTGAAGGAGGGGCAGACCCCTGGATCCCAGATGTGTGCAGCCCAGAGGAGATGGCCGGAGAGCTCAGCCCAGGTGAGGTGGGGAGAAAAAGCGGAGGGTGGGGCTGTCCAAAGCCATCTCTGGCTGGGCAGCATTGTGCGTACTGCGTGCTATCCCTGGCTTTCCTCTGTCATCCAGCAGGAGGTGGGATGACAGCATTAAAGGAGGACGTGCAGAAAAGCGGTGTGTCCGAAAGGCAGAGCGTCTGTGTCTCAGTGGGAGAAAGCAGAAGGGATGCGCAAGGGGGCCTGGAGCAAGGAGAGCACTTCAAGAAGGCACTGGGAAACCATCCGGGAAAGAAAGCGAGGAACCCCTTGGACTTCAGCACAGCCCAAATGCAGCGTGGAGATGAGAGTAGCAAGGAAGTGCGCCTCCTCTTGCAAGGAGCAAGGAAGACAAGGCAGAATTCGTGTGATGAGTGTGGCAAAACCTGTGAAAGGTGTTCTGTTGACTTTAGTCACCAGTGCCTACACTCAAAGGACACACCGTACAAGTGCACTGATTGTGCAAAGCACTTCGTATTGAGATCCACCCTCACGTATCACCAGCGCCTCCACGCAGGAGAGAGACGATTTAAGTGTCCTGAGTGTGGGAAGGGCTTCACAAGGAGTTATGACCTCATCTGCCACCAGCGCATCCACACAGGTGAGACGCCATACAGCTGTCCACAGTGCCCACTGAGTTTTAAAAGCAGTTCCCATCTTGCTTACCACCAGCGCATCCACACAGGAGAAAGACCCTATCAGTGCACTGTGTGTGGGAAGAGCTACAAAAGGAGTTCCCACCTCACCTACCACCATCGCATCCACACAGGAGAGACACCGTACAGCTGTCCTCAGTGCCCACAGAGCTTCACAAGCAGTTCTGCCCTCACCTACCACCAGCGTATCCACGCGGGAGAGAAACCATTTAAGTGCCCAGAGTGTGGGAAGAGCTTCAGAAGCCATTCCCAGCTCAACTGCCACCAGCGCAGCCACACAGGAGAGAGACCCTACAAGTGCCCTGAGTGTGGGAAGGCCTTCAAAAGCAGTTCTGACGTCACTGTCCACCAGCATGTCCACACAGTAGAGAGACCCTTTAAGTGCACCGTATGTGAGAAGAGCTTCAAAAGAAGTTCTGCCCTCATTTACCACCAGCGCATCCATACAGGAGAGAGACCCTACAAGTGCCCTGACTGTGGGAAGGGCTTTAGAAGAAGTTCTCACCTCAGCTCCCACCAGCTTGTCCACACAGGAGAGACACCCTACAAGTGCCCTGAGTGTGGGAAGGGTTTTACAAGAAGCTCTAACCTCAACGTCCACAAGCGCCTCCATAGAGGAGACCAACCATAGCAGCGCCCTGAGTTTGTGAGAACCTCCAGAAGCAGTTCCTGCCTCCTGACCTACCACACATCCCCCCAGGAGACAGAGCCTGCAGTGCCCCAGTGGGCAAAGAGCTTCAGCAGGGCCCCAGCCTGGTCACCACCTGTGGCTTTGCACAGTGATGAGCCTTACATGGCCCTGGAGCCGAGGAAGTGCTTTGGAGGTAAACTAAATCCTGTTCCCCCTTCCTCCCTGGCCTGGGGATAACATCCATTGCTCTCTTTCAGCTGGAGATGATGTGTTGAGTGGGCATGCAAAGGAGAGTCCAGAGAGGGACGTGGCACAGCCACTGGAAACCAAATAAGCGGTGGCTTATTTGTGCCATGCCTGTGTGTATGGAGGTTCCTGGGGAAGTCATCTGGCTTTCAGAGAAACCTGTTTGCGGGGGAGGCCCCAAAGGAGATGTCACGTGGACTGAGAAGTCACCAGGGAGGAAGAAAACGTGTCTGCAGGGAGTGTGGGAAGAGCTTCAGCTGGTGCTCAGCTCTTAGTAGGCCCCAGAGAGCAGACACAGGGGAGAGCTCCTGTGAGGGCCTTGACTGCAGGAAGAGCCATGTCCAGAGCTGGGAGCTCATCGCACGCCAGTGGGTCCACGTGCAGAACCCTACAAAGGTGCAGCCTGCAAGAAGAGCTTCAGCCATGGCCTAGACCTTGTGAGGTACCAGGATGTCTGCACTGGGGAGAAGCCCTGCATGTGCCTGCACCAATGCGTCCACGGGACAAGAAACCTCAGAAGTGCCTTGAGTGTGAGAAGGGCTCTGTGGGAACGCAGGGCTCCTCACTCGCAGGAGATGGCACTCGTGGAAGATGTGCTACAGATGTCCCAAGTGCAGGAAGAGCTTCAAGCACAGCTCCAACCTGATGGAGTGCCTGAGGATCCACTCAGGGCAGAGACCTTGGAAATGCCTGCACTGTGGGCAGAGCTTCATCCAGAGCCCAGACTTCATTGCTATCCAAGGAAAATCTCTCACAGTTTCTCTTCTGCTCGTCCTGCAAGCAGCTTTTTGAAGCCGTTTCCTAAGGAAAAGTAGCTGTGCAGCCACGTGCTGTGTGCCATGCGTTCCTCTCAGTTGCTTCTGAGTCCGCTGACGAATCAGGTACAGGGGTCAGGAGAACAACTGTGCCACTCTTGAAAGGTTTACTGAAGGTAACCTGCACGCAGAAGAGAAAAGCCTCTCCAAAAGCTTTCGCTGAGCAACCATCCCACATGTTTGGCCTTTTATTAGACGTGAGAGAAGACTTGTGGAAGAGTCCAACCTGTGAACTGAGCTTGGCTTGCTCTGCTCCTCATACACCTGATCTTTACGTCCCTTGAGTGGCACGTGGCTTTTCTGTGGTGTCAAAGGGAAAGGGAAGGGGGAGAATAAAGTAGATCAGTTGTCCCAGAGCTTCTCTTTTCTTTGGGGTATGGCCCTGTTTTCTTAAAATGAAAGGCAGTGCAGACTGCAGGGGTGGAAGGAGAGCTTGGTTTTGGTGCGGATACCAGCCCTCTGCTTGCTTCTGCTGGAGGCGTGTTTGCCATATGGCACCAAGAGCTTTCATTGCCACGCTGCACTGTCTACGTTTTACGGGCCGGTTCGGTTCGCTTCCATGACTGATGGAGCAGAGGACCCACACCCCAGGAAAGGTGTTTGGGAAATGGGGGAAGGGTGGGGAGATGGGCCTAAAAAGAGAACAGCGGCAATTGTCTGAGGAGGATAATTAATTCACTAAATATGGTATTGGAATGCAAGATAATACTACATAGACAGTATATGATAAGTATGCAATCCCCATATGCCCCCTTCTGAGGTGAGGAATACCAAGTATACATGGAGCCCCTGGGCCAGTCACAGTAGGATGCTTTTGCCAGTCTGTAGCAGTGAAGCTTATTTTGGCCCCCAACACAGTCAGTTCTTGAGAGCCCCCAGTCACTCTAGAAATAGAAATTGATTTTTTCCCTTTGTGACTTGAGGGCACTGGAGAGCGCCAGTGTCCACCAGTGCCTGATATTTCTGTGGTCCTGATGTGCCAGGCCATCAAATCCACGCAGTCCAATACACCCTAGCGTCCCTTTCTTCCTCCTGGTGAGGTCAGGGCCTCCATTTATTGTCTCTGTTTTTCTTCTCCTGTGAGTCTTGATCAGGGACCTTGCGACTTCTGTCACATCCCACAGCAACTGGAGCAATCAGCTTCTTGGAGGAGTTTGCCTTGGTGGCTGGTCTGTCTTGTCATTCTTTTACTTGTGCTCGTGGAGGGGTTAAATGTAACTCAAAGTCATGAAGTCTGTTAATCAGCTCATTCAAAAGGGTCCTTCTTAGCCCTCTGCCCTACATTGCTGCTGATGTACCGGCTTACTCACAAGGCTGCAGTCCTTGTGAATTTATGCCACGTATTTGGGTTACACCTGACTCCTGATCATGCTCTTGGTTTGGATCGTCAGGAATGAATGTGGGGTCATGTAACCTTTACAGCAGGGCGCATTCTCTCAAGTAATGAAAGCCTTTTTCCATAGCTGTCCATTTCTTTATCTCAGGCATCAGGTTGTCTCTGAAGGGGCATTTTTCCTTTACAGCCAACAGCATCCGCTTCCAGAGGGTGAAGGCCTCACCCTGATATCCGCTAATTCCTCTGTCAGTGGCTGAGTCCCTAGCAATGCTACCCAGCAAGCGATTTCTCTACTATCGAGCAGCACACTGTTGGCTCGTTCTCCCAGTATTGAAGGAACCAGTTGACAGTGGGTTCATTTGTGTGCCATGAAAAGTCCGTTCTCAAACCTCGGATTTCATTTTCAGAGGGCGAGTAGTAATGGTGACAATGCCTTCCTCACCTTCCTCTTCTCTTTTAGCCCTCCTTGGCAGCGGTGGCCGTGGTCTTGTTGAGGACTCCTCCTCTGGCAGCAGCGGCCTCTGCCCTGAATCTTCTTCCTCCTCTTTCTCCTCTTCTTCCTTCCATTCTGAGCAGGGCGATGCTTGCTTCAGTTTCCACCGGGGATGCCCATCTCTCCAAAGTCTCATCCTTGGGGAGGACATCCCTGCCACTCGGTATTATCCTCGGGCTCTGGGGAAAGCTTCCTGAGAATATTACAGAGAAAGATACTGAGTGAAATGGTGAGGAGTACATTCAGGGAGACCGACGCCACGATCAGATGAGCATTCCAAAACCGCATACAGGATTCAAGGGAGAGACTGGGAGACTGCTTAAAACCCACCAGTTCTGTAGAATTAGCAGCTCCCTCTGGAGTCGTATGCCACATTGCATGCAGATATCAGGTAGGTATTTCCATCAGTGTGTTCAGTTGATCATACGTACTTACAGCTCCACAGAGCAGAGTGGCAAACTTCATTAAGGCCCAGTATGTTAAGCATTAAGAAAGAAAAAGTGATGGAATGTATTCCTTTGAAGAGCAGTTTTACAAGAGAAAGCTTTTTTTTTTATTTTTTTCTTCTCAGTACTGAAGCAAGCTGGCAGCACCTAGGGAGTTTACACATATCCCAGAACGTTGGCAGTCTGCCTAAACTTCAGGCCTCGTTTTCAGTGCAGCACACGCAGTACTGATAAGGTTTTCTAACAAAGCTTTCTGAAAAGCAGAGAGTCATTTGTTCTAAAAGCCAAAAAGCGTCCTATGCTCCCATCCTGCACCAAAAATGTCACTGGTTTACAGGCTGGTTCGGCCCAGTT